TCCTATTGTTAATCTCTTGCTTTTCCTTTTCAATTGACTAGATTTTATAAACCCCATTTAAATCCCATTGACTTCTTGGTAGACATTCCTGGATGGATTGTTGCTCTTTGGCAGTTTGGTGGACCATCAGTTTTTCATCTAGAAGGTCCCAGGTGACAATTCCAGGTAGATCTGGGAAAGACTCCCTGCTTGAAACTCTGGAGATCTGCTACCTATTTCTGTTTCCAATACTGAGCATGATCAATCAATGGTCTGACTCAGTATAAGGCAGCTTCTGGTATTTATTTGTAAGAATACACTGTAAGTTCCTTAAAGTTAGTTCTCATTTAAACCAATGAAGCAAGTTAGTCATGACTTTCAAGGTACCATTGATCCTAACGGGAACAAATCTGACAACATCCAATTCAAACCTGGGCATTTCTATTCAGAATGACACCCAACTTTGTTCAGTGGGTCTTACTCTCAGAGGATTGAAGCCTTAAGAGTTAATTATCAGAACCATAAATTATACAATAAAATCATATAAAATTAAAATCAGAAATCAGATAAATATGGTGAAAATATGTATTCTAAGATGCCTGCAAAACTTTGATATGATAGAAACATTTTCATCAGGCGTTTAAAAGATTGAAATAGATGGTGTCTGCCTATACCCTGTTTTTATCAGTTTAAATATACAAGAAGAATCTGTCACCTTTCACAACTGGGAAGACCACAACAACTGTGGGGAGATGAGAATTCACTGTGCCACAGTCAGCAAAATATATTTACTTTTGTCACAGTTAGTATTTATATTGGATCTGATTTGATTCTAAATATGTATTAAATGGTTTTTTAAATTGTTCTTTTATGTGTAGATGTCTTAGCCCTTTTCACGTCTCAGGATGATACTTCAAATGGCAATTGTGCTGAAAACAGAACTGGGAGCAGAAATTACCAATGTTTACTCATTCCTTTCATATCCAGAAAGGAAATCAGTCCAGGGAATACGATCTGCATGTGCTGCTCCAGTTGCTTGCAAACTGCAAATGCTACACAATTGATTCGATCCCCTGCCCACCCATTTCTATTGTATTTTCCTGTACATAGAAATGAAATGACATTGTATATTACATTTCAAAATTAATTTTCAAATGTAACATAATTTTACCCCATTGGATAGCCAGATGAATAATTTAGTTTTTGATGGATGACAAAGTTTACCAAAACAGAATCAGCACCTCAGGTGACAATTACATGGAGGAATGGTAACCAAAGCCTTTTTAATTCCTAGTCTCATGAAGAACACTTCAAAAATGAAGTAAATAATGAATAATGAAATAATAAATAGTTTCCATGACTTTAAGAAGCTTGGAATTTGAGACAGAAAATTGTGAGAACACTTTGCACTCCCTAAAAGTTTTTTGTGGGTGGTTGTTTTTTTTAATCCCCTTATTCAGCCATTAAAGGCCAACAGAACAGCTTACATACAACAGTGAGAAGAAACTTACTGCTTTAAGGCATAAAATCTGGAAGACATAAGACAAAAGGAATGGGGATTTGAAGGGATAAGTGGAGAGACCCTTACTATGGAATCGTGAACATATTCTGTGAAGGCTGTTCTCTGAAGAAAACTTCATAGAAAACATAAAAGATCTGAGAAGAAATCCCACCAATGATGAGGCCACCTGGCTGGTACCACTCATGAGGAACAGGAAGGGGTCACTGGTGGGACACCTGGTCGTATCTGCATTCCACACTCCAGCACTTGCAAAAACAGCAACACCAATAGACAAAACATCCTAGCGGTGTGGCTTATTTCTTCTTCCTACAAGCCCCGTAAGTCAAAACACCTCCCAGTCTGTGCCTTTATTTGCATACTCCTTAGATGATTTCCATGACTTTAATTCTTCTATCGTTTGCTCTTTGCTGCTCTCATTTCCTTTGAGAGGAAGGGACTACATTGGGTTAGGAATTTCTCTGCCAATACTATTCTAAAAGAGGTTTGTGAGTTGGACTTTAAAAACAGGGAGTTACCAATGGAGCCAGTACCCATTTAAATTTTTGGGCAATAATGGGGGAATGTGAGAAATGAAATGAAATAGTCATGCCTGGAAGCTGCCCCTACACTAACTGTTCTGCTGAATAGAGTATTATTTATTCTAACAACATCTAGGCTTGCTTATTGACTCTTTTCATGTGGCTACTGCAAAGCTCCTTGAGCTTTGATGAATTGAACAAAAAAACAATGATTTGGTTAATTGCATGGAGAGACATTTTCTCCAGAGGTTTAGCACAGATTGGCACTTTTGGTAACCAATGTATTGGGTTGGGTTTGTTTCCAAACTGTGACTCTATGTTACCTCTGCACGTGAGTTCTGTCATGAGCAATATTGCCAGGAAAGTCAGAGTGAAGCCCTTTCTTTTGTAGATGCAAATCACAGTCAATTGTTTTTTTAAAAAAATATAGGCATTGTTAAGATCAAGTATGATTTTAGTTCTGTGTATTGTAAGCCACTCTGAAATAATGTGATTAAGAGTGATATCAAAGTGTTCAAACAAAACAACCCCATATTTCATTTATACTGGGGCTTGGGATGTAATCCTGCAACACCAGGAAACATGCATTGTCCAGGTCAGGATTCATAGTGGAATGAAAACTTTAAAATGTGAAAAAAAGATAATAATTGCTTTTCTTTGTAGCAGTATAGGTATAGGAGCAAAGATTCCACTAGTATGAATTGTCCTGTGAATCTATAATTTGGGACTAGAATGTTTTGTCAGTTCTAAACCAGGTTTCAGTAAACCAAAGGGAGCAAAGAAACGGAGGGAATCATCTCAATGTAATCTGTAGCTTGACTCAATGCAGCAAATCATCAGAACACATTTCTGTTTAGAAAACTCTTTCCAGGCACTTCTCTGTTAACTTGCTGTGGAGCTCTGCTATCCCTGGCTGCCTCCCTCCCTTCTTTTTACTTTCTTTTTCATCATTTTATATTGATAATAAATAAATAAATAAATAAATAAATAAATAAATTTTATTTATACCCCGCCCTTCCCGGTTTAAAAACTGGGTTCAGAGCAGCTAACAGCAAATATAAAACTTTCTTCATAGAAGAGGAAAGGGAAAAGGGAACAGAGGATCAGGCTAATTCAAATTGAAGGCCAGGAGGAATAGCTCTGTCTTACAAACCCTGCAGAAGGAGATCAAGTTCAGGAGGGCAATAATCTTGTGGGAAAGAGCATTCCTCCAGGTCGGAGCCATCATTGAAAAAGCACTGGCCCTGGTGGAGGATAGTCTGGATTCCTTAGGGCCTAGGACATTTAAGCTATTATTATTCATGGACCTTAGGGTCCTTTGCGGGACATACCAGGAGAGGCGGTCCCGTAAGTACCAGGGTCCTTACTGTTTTGCTTACTGTTTTTATTAGGCTATGCTAACTAAATGGAAGCTTTATTATGCTTTAATATACCAGGTTCTCATTTCATAGAAAACGCCCGCTCTTCTCTGATTAGTCTGTTTAAATACCCCCAATCCTTCATGGGACTGCTGGCAGTTAACTGAGAGATATATGAGGTGTGGGGACTAAATAGGATTTGAAGAACCAACAGAAACTGTGTGAGGAGACAGAAAAAATATTTTAAATGAACTTGTGTAAATAGTATAAATGAATCCATACCCTTCATTTATAATATAATGGTGGCAAAACTAAGTGATACATTAATTCTTTCTCCTTATTAGTTGTTCTCTGTTGTTGAGCTCAGGCCTCAGCATGATAATATAGCATTTAGGGGCAAAGATGCAGCCCAGTAACCCAGCACTGGAGGCCAAGATGGAGAAGATCTCCACCATCACCATGTATTTCCCTTTGGTGCTCAGGTAGGTAGGGACAAAGCACAGCCAAACACTGCAAAACAGCAACATACTGAAAGTAATGAACTTGGCTTCATTGAAAGTGTCAGGTAATTTGCGGGCGAGGAATGCTGACAGGAAGCTGAAGAAAGCCAGGAGGCCCAAGTAGCCCAAAACACAGGAAAACATAGTCACAGACCCTTCATTGCATTGCACAGTGATTTCTTCCATTAGTGAGTGCATGTCTAAATCTGGGAATGGAGGAGTAGTGGCCAACCAGAGAGTGCAAAGACTTGCTTGAATGAGGGAGCAGGAAAGGACAATGGAGTTGGCCAGTCTTTTCCCCACCCACTTCCTCATGCTGGACCCTGGTTTGGTGGCCATGAAAGCTACAACTACAGTAATAGTTTTGGCCAGCACACAAGAAACAGACATGGAAAAGATGATGCCAAAAATAGGTTGTCTGAGAAGGCAGGCCACTTCCCCAGGTTTGCCAAGGAATAGCAAAGAAGATTGAAAGCAGAGCAGAAGAGAGATGAGGAGAGTATAGGTGAGGTCTCGGTTGTTGGCTTTGACAATAGGTGTATCTCTGTGCTTCACAAAAACTAAAAGCACAAAAGTTGTGACAATGGAGAAAGAAAAAGCAATTGAGGCTAAGCTGATCCCTAAGGGTTCTTCATAAGAAAGAAAGGTGATTGTTTTGGAGATGCATCCATTTTTGTTCCTATTTGGATATTGGTATTCTGGGCATCTGAAACAGTCATCCATATCTGAAAAACAGAAACAGGTGAAATTTCAAATGTACAGTGGTACCTCGCAAGACGAATGCCTCGCAAGACAAAAAACTCGCTAGACGAAAGGTTTTTCCATTTTCGAGTTGCCTCACAAGACGAATTTCCCTATGGGCTTGCTTCGCAAGACGAAAACGTCTCGCGACTTTGTTTCCTTTTTCTTAAAACCGTTAAAACAAAGGGTGCTTAGCTTGAACAGCTGCAGTTGCGACTTGACTTCGAGGAGCAACTGTTAGCACGTGGTTTTGTAGCCTTTTCTCAGACTTTGCTCACTTTTGAAGCTTTTCCAAAACTTTTCCAGAACTTCTCTTGCATCCATTTGGTAAGTTAAACTTTTAAAACTTTTTTTGGGGGGGTTGGATTTTGGGTTGGGGTGTTTGGGATTCAAGGACTTGGTGTTGTGGGGGGGGTTTGCGATAATCTGGGAGCTTGTGGGGCTTTTTGGGGAATTTTTATGATTTTCTGTGACCATTGGGCCAGGTTGTTTTTTTTCAAAAAAAATTTCCTGAGTTTGAATTTCTGAGTGCTGGCTGGCTGGGGGAACAGTTGGAGAGGTTTTTGCAGGAATCTGGGACCATTGATGTTGTTATTTTTTGTTATTTTGTTATTTTTTGTTATTTTTTTGTCTGGGTGGGGGAACAGTTGGGGAGGGGTTTGCAGCAGTTGGGGAGGGGCTGGGGGAGCAGTTGGGGAGGGGTTTGCAATTTCTGTGTGGTGGGTGGGTGGGTGTCTGTGGGAACAGTTGAGGTTTTTGAAGACATTGGTGATTTTTGAAGCTTTTCCAAAACTTATTTTGCAGCCATTTGAGGTTTCTGAAGACTTTGGTGATTGATTGTTGAAGCTTTTCCAGAACTTCTCTTGCATCCATTTGGTAAGTTAAACCTTTAAAACTTTTTTGGGGGGTTTTGGATTTTGGGTTGGGGTTTTTGGGATTCAAGGACTTGGTTCTGGGTTTTAATTTCTGTGTGGTGGGTGGCTGGGTGCTTTTGAATTTTTTGGATTTGAAGCACATCACTGATTTCTTTTTCTTTTTCTGAGTTTACGAAGGTAAGAGCTGTGCTGCCATGGGACCCAAGAAGACTGCTGCTGCGGTGGCCGGCGAGAGGAAGAAGGAGAAGGTGACGCTGGAAATGAAGAAGGAGATCATCCGGAAGCACGACGGCGGAATGCATGTGACGGACATCGCCAGGGAGTACGGGAGGAATCCATCAACCATCGGGACCATCCTGAAGATGAGGGAGAAGATCCTGGCGACTGATGCAGCCAAGGGAGTCACCAGGATCGTGAAGAACCGCCCAGCTGTTCTGGAGGAGGTCGAGAAGTTGCTGCTCATCTGGATAGAAGAGAAGCAGCGTGCAGGGGACACAGTGTCTGAGGCCGTCATTTGTGAGAAGGCCAAGGCCTTGCACGCTGACCTCATCCGGGAACAGCCAGGAACCTCAGGCGAGCCAGAAGTCTTCAAGGCAAGCAGAGGTTGGTTTGAACGGTTCAAGACAAGATCTGGCATCCACAACGTGGTCAGGCATGGAGAGGCTGCCAGTTCTGATGTTCCTGCGGCTGAAGACTTTGCAGCGGAGTTCCTGGAGGTTGTGAAGACGGAGGGCTACGTTCCACAGCAGGTCTTCAACTGCAACGAGACCGGGCTGTTTTGGAAGAGGATGCCCAAAAGGACTTTCATCACACAGGAGGAGGCCAAGTTGCCTGGCCATAAGCCCATGAAGGACCGTCTGCGGATGAAGCAGCAGACTATGGACAGGTTCTTGAGCAAGAAGCAAAGAGTGGAAGAGGAGCCTTCTTCGAGTGGTCCCCCAGAGTCTTAGAAAATGTACTGTACACTTTGTTGATTTTTAAATGTTTTTCTGTCATGTTTATAAAGTTAATTTATTTTCCCTTCAATTTTTGAACTGCTCTTTACAGTATGTGTGACTTTAAAGAGCAGTTAATAAACTGTTGTTGTACCAAATTTGGCTTTGTTTGGACTTTTTTTGACCATAGGAACGCATTAATTGATTTTCAATGCATTCCTATGGGATTTCGTGATTCGCAGGACGAAAAATTCGCTAGACGACAAAACTTGCGGAACGAATTAATTTCGTCTTGCGGGGCACCACTGTAATTCATATACTTCCTCTGCCTCCCAGAAACTTAGCAGTTCAGAAACATTATTTTGAGTGCTATTCCTTGAAAGTCTATGGGACTTAAACCCCTATTTTAACAGTTTATAGGGGTTGCAGGGACACAGGTGGCGCTGTGGGTTAAACCACAGAGCCTGGGACTTGCCGATCAGAAGGTCGGTGGTTCGAATCCCTGTGACGGGGTGAGCTCCCGTTGCTCGGTCCCTGCTCCTGCCAACCTAGCAGTTCGAAAGCATGTCAAAGTGCAAGTAGATAAATAGGTACCTCTCTGGTGGGAAGGTAAACGGCGTTTCCGCATGCTGCTCTGGTTCGCCAGAAGCGGCTTAGTCATGCTGGTCACATGACTCGGAAGCTATCTGTGGGCAAACGCCGGCTCTCGGCCTATAGAGCGAGATGAGCGTGCAACCCCAGAGTTGGACCTAATAGTCAGGGGTCCCTTTACCTTTACCTAGGGGTTGCAAATCCCCTTGTGTTCTCTCACTGAGTTGAATGGGAGAAAAATTATTTTTATTGTTTTAGGTCTTAAACTCAAATCAATGTAGAATGTATTGCATGAGACTTATTCATAACCTTGGATATATAATGCGTCAACAAAGAAACATTGCAAACAGCATGCAATCAGACATTAATAAGTATATTTTAGGCCCCAAAACAGTTCTCTTATGAAAACAAAAATGAATTCTTTGTCACAAACCATTACGGTCTGAAAATTTCCCTTCTGGACATGGAGCACAATCATAGCAGCAAAATTTTTCTCCTTCCTTCCTTTTCTTCTGATGACCAGGGGAGCAGCAGTCGTTGCACACAGAAATAGGCACCACCTACCCATAACCAAGAAAGATTTTTCTTTAAATTACATATTATTTAATTTATTTGTTTAATTTTGCTTGTGAACATGAAATCAACTCATCCCGGGAACTTTAAATATAATCTTAGAGTCCTAATCATTGATTTATCTGGCTCTTTATTATTACAAGCCAGTGATATTATCAATTCCTACTTAGAAATGCAGAGGATTGAACCTGAGGGATTTGTTTATAAAACATTTTGTTATACAAATGAGGTTTGGATTCTGTTCAATGGAATAGAGAGAGCAAGAGCAGGGCCCAAAGTAATACCCCTGGATCCATACCTGGTTAAAACCCTTGTGCCATGTTATCATGTCCTCATGAATGATGATTTTTCTTGATTCAAGAGCATCGTCACCCACTTGTCCAACTTTCACTCGAAGGAAGGACTTGTTGGGGAATGTAACTATGTTCATGATGTCAAATAAACCTCCCATTTGCTTTTTACCATTGAAGCTCAGAGTTTCTCCAACTGAATTGTTGAATATAATGCCAGAAAGATAAGAGTGGAGCTAATTGAGAAGGAGATTTTAGATGAACTGATTAGAAATGAGAAAGAATTAGTTTAAAAACCTGGAAAAAGTTCCATTAAGCAAGCCATAAAAATGTAGTAATCACAGTATTCAATGAAAGTCAATCAAGAGATAGAATGGAAGTTTTTTTATTTTTTTATTTTTAATATGCAAACAATCCAGGAAAACTACTGGCTTGGCAACTGAGGGGAAGAGAGGGCTTGAAAGTGATAAGCAAGCTGAGTATAGAGGGTAAGATAGTGGATAATCCCAAAGACATAAGGAAACAATTTTAAAAATACCATGCAAAATTATACTGAGCAGACCCTGAAAATAAAGAGAAAATACAAGAATATCTAGATAAAAATTAAATTCCACAAATATCTAAAGAGAAAATGATTCAATTAAACAAGCTGATAACGGCAATTGAGGTGCAAGCCAAGACTGGTAAAATGCCAGGGCCTGATGGGCTCTCAGAAAAATATTGCAAAAAAAAAACAAAAAAGGACTTTCTGGTACAACCATTAACAGAAGTACTGAGTGAAATGTTAAAGTTAAGCAAAGTACCAGATACTTGGAAGGATGCCTACATTGTCTTAATCCCAGAGCAAGACACAGATTTATTGTCAGTTAAAAATTATACACCAATTTCCTTACTAATTAATGATTATGAGATATTTGCCAATATATTAGCCAATTGATTGGAAGTGTCTTAGCAGAAATAATTCATCATGACCAGACCGGATTTCTACTAGGTCACCAAATGAAGAAGAATATAATGAATATAATAGACATTATTGAATATCTGGAAGTAAGAAATGAGGAAAGTAGAGGCCTTAATGTTTATAGATGCTGAAAGGCCTTTGACAGCGTTTCCTGGGCCGTTATGAAAAAAATGATAGAAAAAATGAATCTTGGGGAATTATTTGGGAGAGGACTAGATGCAATTCACTCTGAACAACAGGCCAGGTTGATTGTTAATAAGGCTATAACAGAAAAGTCCAAAATAACAATGGGGACAAGGCAAGGATGTCCCCTCTCACCATTATTATTCATTTTAGTATTAGAGGCCTTGGCGAGGGAGATAAGGGCTTGCAAGCTTTAAATTAAATTTAAATAAGACTAAGGTTTGGTTAAAGATATGACGGAGCAAGGAAAAAGGGAATTATAACAGAAAACAGATTTAGTTATACATAAAAAAGTAAAATGCCTAGGAGTTTAGTTAACAGCTAAGAATATTAATCTATATAAAGACAATTATGAGAAAGTACGGAAAGAAACAAAAAGAGATTTAGAGATATGGGGAAGAAAGGACCTATCATTTTGGGGAAGAATGTTAGTGATAAAAATGAATGTACTGCCAAGAATGTTATTTTTATTTCAATCAGCCCCGGTAATAGGCAGAGTTAGATACTTCGAACAGTGGCAAAAAGACATATCTAGGTTTATCTGGCTGGAGAAGAAACCAAGGATAAAATATAAATTATTAACAGATGCAAGAGAAAGAGGAGGTTTCACTCTGCCAGATCTGAAACTTTATTATGAAGCATCCTTGTATCTGCTGGATCTGGGACTGGATCATGCTGGGACATTCTAGATTTAGATAATAGATTTGGATTGCATGCATGCCTATGGTATGAAAAGGCAAAGGTCTATAAAGCATTTCAGAACCATAAATTAAGAAAGTTGATTTTTAGCGTATGGGAAAACTATAAAAAGGGCTTTTCCCTTTGGAAGCAATAATTTGAGAAAAGTGAACATGAGAAGTAATTGGCCAAGTTGTAGAGAACTGCTAAAAATGTGGAAAATCAGTTAAATTAAAAGATTTTGAAGAGATAAGGGAATTAGTAAGAGATTGGCTACAGTATTTTCAGTTGAATGATATCTTCGAGATAGATAAAAAGAGAGGTTTTAGTTATGAGATATAAAGATTCCAAAAAAGAACTTCTAGAAAATAATATCAAGACTCTGTCAGAAATGTATAACTTGCTCCTAGAATGGCATATGAAGGATGAACATGTTAAATTGGCTATGATAAACTGGGCAAAGGACTTAGGACACAACATACAACTGGCAGATTGGAAGAGGCTATGGAGAACAGATTTGAAATTCAAAGCATGTTGTATGCCAAAAGAAAATTACTTGAAAATGATATACCGGTGGTATCTGACTCCTACTAAGTAATCCAAAATGTATAGAACAAGCTTCAAATTTGTTGGAAGTGTAAAGAAAAGGCATGTACTTTTTATTATACGTGGTGGACATGCAAGATAACAAAGTCTTTTTAGGAAATGATATGTAGTGAATTGGGGGGGGATGTTTAAAATACCATTTGTTAAAAAAACAGAAGCATTCTATTAGGAATTACAGGTTCCGATATCCCAACAGACAAGAGAAGACAGTTTATGTATGCGACAACAGCTGCAAGAATGCTACTAGCCCAAAGATGGAAAGAACCAACAGTTCCGACGAAGGAAGAATGGCAAGCCAAATTGCTGGACTATGCTGAAATGGCAAAACTGACTGGAAGACTCAGGAATCAAGAAGATAATGACTTTTAAAAAGAATGGGGGGAAATTATAATTTACTTATGAGAACATTGTGAGCAAATAAAAAGGTTATTCGGACTTTAGAAACAACTTGTAAAGAAACGGGGGAGGGGGACCACGGATAATTCAGAGAGATGAAAACTGTGGATGATATGTAGTTTTAGAAAAATTATGTTAAGGGGAAGGGGTCAACACAATTTGACTTATACCACCATTTCCCCCCAGTGTAGGTTCTGCCAGGTTTGTGGGTCCTGTGAATGAACTGAAAGGGTTTTTCAATGGGAGTAATTCTGACCCTGCCTTGCATCACCTCAGCAAGACCCCTCTTTTGTAACCCATCACAGCCTCAGCTCAGCCAGTGAGGCAAAGTGAACCTGGGATGGAGGGCATACGCGATTGTATCTGCCCTTATCCCAGATGATCTTGGGTTTGAATTGCTCCCTATGTGTGGAAAATTAGCTTTTATTCCCTAAACAGATGGTAACTGGATGATATTGTAATGTCAAGCAAAACGTACATGAGATGATGTGAACATACACAACATACATCTCTACATTACGATTACGATTATGATATCTTTATTGTCACTGTCCCATGCAGAACAATGAAATTGAAAAACTACATAAAACTACACAAAAACTACATAAAACTACATTAAAACTACATAAAACTACATTAAAACTACATAAAACATTCAAAAACCCCTAAAAACTCTAAAACCCCATTTTAAAATACACTATACTATAGAGACCCTTTATGCTGCGTTTAGAACCAGAATTGCATTTGCATAGAAACTGTTTCTCAGATGGCTAGCCCTGGCCTTTATAACCCTATACCTTCTTCCAGAAGGCAGAAGCTGAAAAAGAAGAAGAAGAAGAAGAAGAGTTTGGATTTGATATCCCGCCTTTCACTCCCTTTAAGGAGTCTCAAAGCGGCTAACATTCTCATTTCCCTTCCTCCCCCACAACAAACACTCTGTGAGGTGAGTGGGGCTGAGAGACTTCAAAGAGGTGTGACTGGCCCAAGGTCACACAGCAGCTGCATGTGGAGGAGCAGAGACGCGAACCTGGTTCCCCAGATTACGAGACTACCGCTCTTAACCACTACACCACAGTGGCTCTCCAAAAAGATCATTTCCGGGGTGCATACTAGACTGTGCTATCTCTGCCACTTTCTTATGGCACCTGGCAGCATAGATTTGATCTAAGGTGGGAAGAGTGCACCCAATTATTCTCTCTGCAATCTTTACAACCCTGGATAGCATTGTTTTTTCCCTGGCCGTGCAGCTCCCAAACCACACACAGAGACCATAAGTTAGTACGCTTTCCACAGTGCAATGGTAAAATGCCATCAAGAGGTCCTTTGAGAGATTGTTTTTCCGGAGGATTCTCAGAAAATATAACCTCTGCTGTGCTCTCTTCACCAGGTCTTTGCTGTTCTCTCCCCAGGTTAGGTCGTCTCTCAACTCCATTCCCAGAAATCGAAACACTGAGACCTGTTCCACGCACTTCCCCTCAATAATGTGGCTGAATATTCAATTTACATTTCCTAAAGTCCACAATGATCTGTTTTGTTTTCTTTAAGTTAAGGAGTAAGTTGTTTTTCCTGCACCACTCCCCCAACTGCACAACTTCCTTCCTATAGGTCACAGGGAGTTGGACTAGATGAACCTTGGGATCCCTTCCAACTATACTATTCTATGATTGTACGTTTGTCAGTGAATAAAATGAATAATCCCATTTCATCAGCTACTTGTGGAGGATAAATTGGATGAAGCCCCACCTTGGACTATTCAATCCATTGGATAAAGAAAATTTTGATTTCAACACATTACCTCCAAAGACGGTTGGTCTTGAAGTTCAAATTCTTATCCCAGACCATTGCTTTCTGCTTCAATCTGCTTGAGTACATGGCATGCAAAGCATGAGCCACAACATAGACAGCATTGTAGATACTGTAGCTTTGGCCAGTCATGCCCATCTCAAACTGAGTCGTAGGAAGGCTCTCCAGCCTCTCTTCCCCAGTACATAGTTCATTGCCTTCCACTGGCACACGGGAGTTTGGGAATGTACATTCAAATGCATCCTCCCAGAACTCTTGCAGAAAACCATCTCCTTCTGTTTTATCAGGTTTTAAGTTCTGAAGATATTCATTGAATTTTAGAACCTCTTTTGAGTGAATTGTGAAAGAAATTGCCCCTTGAAAGAGCTCAAGATCCTTTACTATGAAATCAATTTGGGTTGTTATGATCCATACCTTCCTAAATGGTGAGCTTTCCTTATTTTCAAACTCACGTAGAAATATAATAGATCTCATCCATATAATGGTCAAAGATTCTCCAAAGAGTATAAATGCACTGATTTTATCATTGGCTAAAGAGAGAGAAATATGCCTGAGCATACCAATTGTTTCAGTCAGCTTATCTATCGGGCCTATTTGTGGTATTTTTTGGTTGAAGGCTGAACAAATTCCATGCTCGGAAAGCAATGATTCCAGGGTCCGCACAAAGTTCTCTCCATCGTCACCCTCTGCAACAAAAAGTCCAGCCCATGTCCATCCAAAATACTTCAGTAAATTGATTATCCCCATATACTGATGGCTGTCATTGGGTACCATGTGGTAAAAGGAGATGAACTGATCTGCATCACCCTCCGCAGGGGGAAAAGTTCCATATGTGAGCTAAACAGAAGTGTACAGACATGATAGATTTATGTCAGGATAAACCTTCATTTTGAGCATGTACCTGTTCATTCATCACAGGTAGAGTTTGAGGACAGTTCAATCCAAATATTTGTAAAGATATCAGGGACGCGGGTGGTGCTGTGGGTTAAACCACAGAGCCTAGGACTTGCCAATCAGAAGGCCGGCAGTTTGAATCCCCATGACGGGGTGAGCTCCCGTTGCTCGGTCCCTGCTCCTGCCAATCTAGCAGTTTGAAAGCACATCAAAGTGCAAGTAGATAAATAGGTACCACTCTGGCGGGAAGGTAAACCGCGTTTCCGTGTGCTGCTCTGGTTCACCAGAAGCAGCTTAGTCATGCTGGCCACATGACCCGAAAGTGGTACACTGGCTCCCTCGGCCAATAAAGCGAAATGAGCGCCGCAACCCCAGAGTCGATCACGACTGGACCTAATGGTCAGGGGTCCCTTTACCTTTACCTTTACACTACAGTGAAGCTTTTTTGTTGTTGTTATTATGATTATTATTATTACTGCTACTGCTGCTGCTACGATTAAAACTAATATTCCAAAAGGAATCCCAGCCAGTAATCTCGCTGCTATATTGATGTTTAAGTCTTCTTCCTAGGGAGCCTCAGTGACAGCCTTATTGGCAATGGAAGAATGTAAAATATGAAAATCCATATATCTCCCCCCCCCCATTCATAGCTCCTACCTGTGGAATTTTGTAGAGGCCTATGGTGTCGGCAATAAAAAAGGAGGTAACAGAGCTAAGTCCTCCAATGATGGCTACGAGGTTTTTTTTGAGTGTCACATATATAGTTGGGGACAAATCTACGTGATTTGAAAAGTAGGTCCAGAGTAGTCCGGTAGGTCATCATTCCATCGTAATAACTATCATAGATGTGGAATCCAAGGGTGAGATTTGGCAAGATCTTTTGATTCTTGTTGATTTCTTTTACAGCAAATGCCAAGGCAAGGGTATGCTGGTAGAATTTTGTCACCATGCTGCAAATAAAGTTATATTTTCAAAATTTCAAGTGGAAATTGTGGGTTTCTGGCTTAGCCAGAAATGCACCCTGCAGCTTTGTCCCAGGTGGCCAATATGCCCCTTTAAACACTCTGATGGTTTTTGGAGTAGGCTTGAGATCACCCAAGTATGTTGCAATCACCATTCCTTGACCTGGATAGAGTCAGAGGACTCAGTTATGGGCAGGTAGAGTGGCGAGATGCAGCCAGACATCTTCATTGACTCTGCCATTGTAAGTCTCAGAATGCAAGAGTGTAAGTGGCTGACTTCCACTAACTTGGTTAAATTAGATTCTTTTTAAAAAGTAAGTACACTGTTACAGAAAAAAGTGAGGTATTTACTGCAAACTGCCCAGATAGAAAGATGAGTTTTAGCTTTAATGGCAGCTGAAAGAAGACTGATTTAAATGAGACTCTGGCAGCATTGAAAATGATCCTGGGACCAACACCAGTGCACTGCCTCAGCTTTCTTTAAATATACAGGGGTTAAGAAAAAGACCAGTCTCTGTTGAGGAGACAGTCAAAAAATGGGGTGAGAAGAATTACCAAGTTAAGAAAAAACTGGATATTATAGCACTGAAAGGTGAAAAACAAAAAACAAAATATCAAATAGTGGTTCTAGAAATGCCTCAAAAAGAATTCTTCCTAAAAAAATATCGGAAATCCAAGAACAAGATGAAGACAACTTAAATTGAGATTAGCATAAGAAGTTCAAATTTCTTGAGATGGAGGAAATTTGATACCCTCATTGACAGTCTTGAATATTAAGTCAGAAAATGCCAAAGCAAAAAAACTGTCAGGATATTGTTTGGTACAATTTACGTCAAGGGCTATAAAGGATAGAATTTTACAAACTCTTCAAAAACAACCTACACATTGAAGGACATAGAATTACAATTCTGAAAGAAACTCCTTGAATAATTTTAAAGAAAAAGGATTATATATGTCCAGCAACTACTCTCAAAAATAAAGGATTGGTCTGTTAATCTTTTTAAGTTTATTTAAATGCTGAAAATAACTTTCTGTCTCCACTTAAATTATGTACAATACATAATACTTTAAGAAAGACTTGAAATCAGTTAGACATAACACAAAAGAAATGGGGATTTGAAGGGATAAGTGGGGAGACACTTACTATGGAGCTTTGAACATATTCTGTGAAGGCTGTTCTTCGAACAAAACTTCATCAAATACATAAAAGATTTGAGAAGAAATCCCACCAATGATGAGGTCACCTGGCTGGTACCACTCATGGGAACAGGAACAGGATAACTGGTGGGACACCTGGTAGTATTTGCTTTGTAGACAAAAGCCACTTGCAAAAGCAGCAACAGAAATAGATCAAGCATCATTACAGTGCAGCTTATTTCCTCTTCCCACAAGCCTCTTAAGAAGTGGCTGCTGGAAAGTCTCATGAGTTATGATTAATTGAACAATTATAGTAAATTGGAAAATTGCATGGAGAGATAATAACTTTTTCAGAGTTTTAACTCATAGTGACACTTTTTTAAAATCACCATCATCATCATAATGACTCCATGTTACCTCTGCCCCTGAGTGGCCCACAAAGTGGCAATTGGCATGAAATCTTCTTTGGTAAGTGAAAATCAGCCAAAAAAATAAGAGGGAAGTCATTTGTGGATGCAAAGCAACAAACCTTACAACAAAGACCACTTGTGAAACTTTAGTGTAATGAAAGGACTGGGAAACCAACATTTCTCTACACAACAAATCTGTGGCAACACTCTTCTCCAAACACCCCCTCCCCTCATTCATCAACAAGAAAAGAATTAATCAATTGCTTTCTCAGGCTTTCTTTCTTTTTTCTTATCCCCCCCCCCAAGATTTTTATGTTAACATTATTTCCATACACGCCAAACATTTTCCACATATACAAAACTGGGATTATACAAACCACTCAGACTTCCCCCTGTTCCACCCTGGTTTCCATATTTACCCATATTTTCTTGCATATAATTATAATTATCCATTCTATTTCATCTCCTTATTTACTACTTTAATTCATTTTACTTCATAAATGTTATATATAACACTTCAGGTCCAGTGTTGGATGATTTCGATCGGATACTCCCTGCTGATGTGGATAGATTCCTCCAAGTTGGTAGGCCCACCACCTGCCTCTTTGATCCGTGCCCGTCTTGGCTGATTAGGGAGTGTCCAGATGTCGCACAGACCCCCCTGATTGAAATTATTAATTTGCCCCTTGACACGGGGACATTCCCAGGGGAACTAAAGGAAGCAGTGGTGTGTCCACTCTTAAAGAAAACTTCACTAGATCCCTTAGACGTATCCAATTACCGCCCAGTTTCAAATCTTCCATATCTGGGTAAGGTAATTGAGAGAGCGGTTGCTGAACAGCTTGGTAGGTTTCTGGAGGAAACATTGGCTTTAGATCCATTTCAGTCCGGTTTCCGTCCTGGTTTTCGGACCGAGACGGCTCTGGTTGCCCTAACAGATGATCTCTGTAGACAACTGGATCGAGGCGGGTCAAGACTGGTGATCCTTTTAGATTTGTCAGCAGCCTTTGACATGGTTGATCATGATCTTCTGGACCACCACGTCGCAGATGTGGGGATACAGGGCATAGCCCATAACTGGCTGTGCTCTTTTATCTGTGGTCGGAGACAGAGGGTGGCACTAGGCAGGGAAATGTCGTCGCGCCACTCCTTGGTGTGTGGAGTGCCGCAGGGCGCAATCCTCTCCCCGATGCTTTTTAACAACTTTATGTGCCCCCTTGCCCAGATTATCTGGAGCTTTGGGCTGGGCTGTCACCAATATGCTGATGACACTCAGCTCTATCTGCTGATGGATGGTCACACCGACTCAGCCCCGAACACACTGACCAGATGCTTGGAAGCTGTGGCTGGATGGTTTTGTGGGAGCCAATTGAAACTGAATCCTTCGAGGACAGAGGTCCTATGGCTGGGTCATGGCATGGGGTTGAGGGACCAACTCCCTTCTCTTGCGGGGGCCCAATTAGTGCCATTGCCTTCTATTAAGAGTTTGGGTCTAATACTTGATGCCTCCCTTTCCATGGAGGCGCAGGTTACAGCAACAGCCAAAGTGACATTTTTCCACCTTAGCCGCATCAAGCAGTTGGTCCCTTACCTTTCCCGCCCCGACCTGGCCACAGTGATCCATGTGACGGTCACCTCCAGGCTTGACTACTGTAATTCGCTCTACGCGGGGCTGCCCTTGAAGCTGTCCCAGAAACTCCAGCGGGTGCAGAATGCTGCAGCGAGGCTCCTCACGGGGTCTCTGCCATGGGAGCATATTCACCCAGTGCTTTTCAAGCTGCACTGACTCCCAGTGGAGTACAGGGTCAGATTTAAGGTGCTGGTTTTGACCTTTAAAGCCCTTCACGGCCTAGGACCCTCGTACCTACGGGACCACCTCTCCCGGTATGCCCCATGGAGAGCCTCAAGGTCCATAAATAGCAACACCCTAGTGGTCCCGGGCCCTAAGGAAGTTAGATTAGCTTCAACCAGAGCCAGGGCCTTTTCAACTCTGGCTCCAGCCTGGTGGAACGCTCTGCCTCATGAGATCAGGGCCCTGCAGGATCTGATTTCTTTCTGCAGGGCCTGTAAGACAGAGTTGTTCCACCTGGCCTTTGGCTTGGAGCCAATGTGATTCCCTCCCTCTCTTTCTTTTTTCTTTTCCTTCTCCTCCTGCAATGAGGCTACATTTTAATATTTTAATGTTTCATTATTTTAATGTTGTATTTTAATTTTGTTTTTAAGTTGTAATCATTCAACTTGTTTTTATTATTGCTTGTAAGCCGTCCTGAGCCCGGCCTTGACTGGGGAGGGGCAGGGTATAAATAAAAATTGTCAACCAAATTGTCCCATTCTTGTTTAATAACTTTATCATCTTGATGTCTGATCTTCA